GAAATCTTCATACTCCGCGCCCTGATGACGGAGGCAGTATGGCCTCAGAAACGTTGGTAAACATCGACCAGACTACACAGCGCCACAACCCAGAAGACAGAAATCTTCATACTCCGCGCCCTGATGACGGAGGCAGTATGGCCTCAGAAACGTTGGTAAACATCGACCAGACTACACAGCGCCACAACCCAGAAGACAGCAATCTTTGTAAGATCTCTATTTTTAATTTAAACATAAGGGTGATAGTCTTGAGGGTATTTCTGAGAGCTACATCACCTTCGTAACACGTAGGCCTGTAGGTAGTATTTTGTATTGAATTGTAGAAATAACGATATGGCTGTTAATTCTTACCTGATACTGTAGATAATATTTTTTCAGCTTTTACATATTAGGCTTTCTGGCTTGCTGTAATTTTGTTTTGGCATCAGGTAGACTCCTTGGACGAATCACCAGCTCGACGCAAGTCCTGTACGTACACAAAACAGAAGACATCCATGCCTCGATTGGGATTCGAACCCATAATCCAAGGATCACGCATCCACTGTGACAAGCATCCTGTAGTATTGTTTTGCAACATGGCTAATAAATGTGCCTTGCATTCGAGAAATATTAAATTTGAATCTCTGCTTTGGTTCTGCTGTAGTGACTTGAGGCTTTTAGTAGTTTTCCCAGCAGGAAAAATTCGAGAAATTACTTTGATTGTGGTGCAATGGCATCTTCTCCGGTCATTCCCATTTCCTATCATCTGGTTCGACACCAAGTATTATCTGTTGTGAAACCTCGTCGTTAAGCAACCTAAGCAAATAAGAGCAATGGAATTTCTGGTGATTAATTATCTGTTCCACGTAGCCTATACGTGCTTTAACATCAAGACCAGACGAGCGAAGTGCCAGAAATGAAGCCTTGTGAATGTGGGCTACGGTCTCGTCATTTGTATTGTGTATCTTAAGATCGCTGCAACACCTTAATTGATTCGTGCAAAAAAAAAAATCACAAAGTAGCTTGTACGTTCTCGAAATGTATGTCTTATGTATGCACGTGGATATAATAGCTCATTTGACCTCAGATTTCCTGTTCTTAATAAGATATGGAAATTTTTTAGACTCTAAAAAATATCGAAGAATTGTAATTCGTATGGCTTGAATATATAAATTACTTCATAGAATAATATCATTCCTTGTAGGATTTGAAGTTTTCACGGCGATGAGTATGAAGATTTCTGTCTTCTGGGTTGTTGCGCTGTGTAGTCTGGTCGATGTTTACCAACGTTTCAGAGGTCATACTGCCTCCATCATCAGGGCGATGAGTATGAAGATTTCTGTCTTCTGGGTTGTTGCGCCGTGTAATCTGATAGAAGTTTTGCCGACGTTTCAGAGGTCCTTACTGCTTTCATCATCAGGGCGATCGCCCTTATGACGAAGGCAGCAACAACCCAGAGACAACCATCTTCCTTTAATTCCTTATGATCAATTTTATTTGTGCGATCTCCTAACTGCCTGATGATCATCCAGGACTTTGAACGCAAACATTTACAAGGACCACCATATCGGTGACCATCCCCACGTATTTGCGTATGTCCGAAAATAAATATTCGTATTATGGCACATGCTTATCGACAGTTAGGTGCATGAAGGTTCTTTGCAGAGTAATGTTTTAAACATTACACATGCCATGGAGTATCTTCAGGAACTGGCAATATGTAAAATCATTATGAGAAAATTAGATCCAGCTCAAGGCTGCTTAAAAGTTTGTTTATGGCCGGTTCAGAACAAAAAGTGGCTGCTACGAGGTGCGATCGGAAAGTTTCAAGACTGTGTCAATAGAGGGCGAACCGGATGTAGTACGAGCTTCTGCCACTAGGGGGTGCGGCCTACATTCATAGTGAATCAGTGTGCCAGCCGGCATCATCTAATTAGCATTTGTTTCTTAGTTACGGGCGTTTTGGTAGTGCATTACACCGACCCTCCTGCGATTTCGGAATGGCGTGTGCATCAAATTTTGCCAAAGACTCGCCAAAACGGCTACGGAAACCTATGAAATTCTAAAGCAAGCATTTGGGGAGTCCGCAATGGGTCGTGCACAAACGTTTGTGTGGCATTCACGTTTTAAAAATGGCCGAACCTCTGTCGATGAGGGCGAGCGTTCTGGACGACCATCTTCGAGCACAACGCCCGAAAATGTTACGAAGAGTCGGCAGGCCATTCACGAAGATCGACGTCGTACCATCAACGACTTGTGCGACATTGCTGGGATAGGCTATGGGACCTGTCAGCTGATTCTAAAGGAACAACTCCACATGCGACGCATCCTGTCAGAGGACCAGAAGCAGAATCGACTTCTCGTTTGTCAGGAACTCAAAGATCTTGCAAGAACCGACCCCAACTTCCTTTCTAAGCTCCGTGTGACTTCTTCCTCTTCCCAAAGATGAAAATTCAGCTAAAGGGAAGGAGATTTGAGACGATAGAAGAGATTCAGGCAGAATCGCAGATGGTGCTTGACAGGCTGACAAAGAAAGATTTCCAGGGATGCTTCCAGGCTTGGCAGCGGCGCTGGGATCGTTGTGTTCACTCCCAGGGGAACTACTTCGAGGGTGATGGATGAATTTAATATCTGAGATAAGTGTACGGGTTTTTATACGCGCAGTCTGGAAACCTTTCGATCGCACCTCGTACAACAAAATAATCCAAAGAGATTTTCAAACTTCAGTCATCTTAATCGAATGTTGTTTCTGACTTCCTTTGTCGGAAATGTCTGTTGCAGAATCAAACAATTTTAAAGCCTCTGTCAGACAGGATAATGCATCACGCTGTAAGCCTATATATGCGTAAGTACTACATAGTCATTGCCTTCATGCCTGTAGACTTACCGTTGACCCGTCTACTGTAATCGACTTTTAAAGACTCAGGTTCATCTAAGGAGGAATTTGGACCTTACTTATCGACTTCGTTAAAAGTTTGAACAAGGGGAGTATTTGTTTACTGGGAAAACTGTGGTGCGTAGTGTCGATAAGACTATGAATTACCAGAACTGTCTCCCGGACACGGGTAAGAAATCTCACACACGGAATCCCCCATTTATCGAACACTTCTGAATTTTCTAGTCCGTAATTAGCAAGTATTTCTAGTGCCTGCTGTACAGCTCTCGTTTTACCAACTCTTTGTACTCTGTCAATTACGTTAAGTTCTGTCGTGGAGCTGCGATAGAGTTGAGTTGACGAGGGCGTTCGATTCCCGGTAGGGCTATCGTCCAGGGTATGGTCTCCGGTAAGCCTCCGATCCACTGGGTAAGGATATTTTTTCATCGGAGTTGAAGCGTCAAGCTAACCACTCCGTCCTAATTCTTCTACTTCCCTAAACGTCTGCAGCATTGAAGGAAACTAAGGTATGTCTAGAAATTTTTGTGACACTAATTCGTTTCTTCACGTATCGTTCAAGTTCCTTTGGTTACATTTGTTATAGTTGTGACAGTGTTTGCGTTGGTGAGCCAAAAATTATGGGTTTCTGAATACGTGTCTGAACCATCCAGTCTATAATCACGTAAATACGTCTATAAGGAAGGGTCATTCGGCAAAAATGTGTTACGAAAAAGGGAAACGAAAAAGTGTAACTTCATTGTTATGTTACCTAGGAAACGTCATCTGTTTACTCGGCATTGTTGTTACCTATAAAACATTACATTACCTTACCTTACCTTACATTTCATTACATTGCATTACTTTACATTACATTCAGCTACCACAGACCCATCTTAAGCGTAACTAATTCAAGTTAAATAAGCAATGTCTTAATCAAACTTATCTCAATTGTAAAGCATGTATAAAGGAAATATTTAGAATAAAGCCAATATATAAACTTCCTTTCCGTATAGACGTATTCACGTCAAATTCTCCGGAACCGTGGTTCCACTGACAACTTTTTTTTGCGTTGACCGAGATTACGAGGATCTTAATGTAACCGACGGTGGTGGTGTACCGATTGTAGTTTGCCATTCCATTTCCGATGAGATCTAACTAACGAATTATTTTCGACTGTAATTATTGTAAATTGCGGTTTAAATTTTCTTATTGGAAATCATATAATACGTGAATTTTAAGTTGTGTTAATGCATTGAAAACAAGAGTTAGACACAAAATTTCCGTCTAGACTTCTTAGGGGATTTTGATATCTCTGGTTACGATTGGGTTGATGTCTTTCCCCAACCTGACTCGCATCACTACATCAAAATTAGAAAGATTTTATGTGAATTTGGACTTCAGCGGAACGTCGTTATAAATAACGTGAATCTGCTTGATTTTGTATTTGAAAATTTGTATGTGACAGTTGCTATTTCCTATTCTGAATTGGTTTCTGCTTCTAATGCCACTGTCAAGGTCATTGGCATTTTTATAAGGGCTGTATTCCGCTAAAGGATATTTTATAACATTGCTTGTGTTTCGATTAAACATCTTTGTCCATATTCTGTGGGTGTTTCATATTCTATATTTCTTCCTCGTCTCTACAACCCAATGTGGGTCTTCGCTGCCTCCGTGAGTGACCAGCCAACTGCTAGAGCCATCTAGTAGAGAATCAGGAGAAACATGGCTGCATTACATTGAGACGATCGATGTACGTCTGTAAGATGGAACCTTCGTATGATTTACCTTTGTTCGTAGAAGTGGCAGAATTTGAGACGAGATTAACAAAAATTACCACAGACTATGGGTTTTTCATGACAGGTCAGAGCGAGATGTGCTGGTCGTTTATCGCCTTCGTCCTTCTAGTCTTAACTGCGTCCGTTTGGGTTTCAGGAAATGGTAAAGTCCTTATACTTTTTAAAAAGGGTTAGAACATTTATAAAGTGCCTGAAAACCTTGTCAATATAAACCGATGGGTAGGATATTCCAGGAGCATCCGTAAAAGCTGGGGAACATTTTTGATTCTTGTAAACGAGACAAGGCAAATGAAGAATTAGTGGCAGTCGGATCAACAGAACTCTTATGTCTCCGTGTTCTGTGCTTGCAGAAGATGGAGCTGTTGGATTTACTCCCGATCTTCGCATTGGTTTCGATCCTGCTGCTGCCGTTCGTCTATGACTCACACGGGACCTTCCGTTACCACAGCCGCTTCGCCTTCTATATTGTGTCCGTGTCCTTCACAGCAATGATATGCTCCCCGTTCTACTGCCTTAACCCCTTCAATGTGAAGAACTCTCTGTGAGTGTCTTAACCATTAGTTACACTTCTGATATTGCCAAGTTCTCTTCGCAAAATATTATGATTAACAAGGGAATAACAACAAATATAGTTGGCGTAGTAGTTTCTGGTCGGTAGAGAAGCTATCGGAGCTGGCGGACGGGCCTAGTCTGTGTACCTGAGGTGGCGCGGTCAGTGCATTTCTTTTGTTCGGGCATTCAGTCCGAGACTCGCTCCTCGGTGCAGTCAGCAAAAGAGACTCGCTCCTAACCTTCCCTTGAAAATTCCACGGGCCAAAAACTACTGCGCCGACTATAACAAGTAAATATTAACCACACTTGCCTTTGACTTGGCAAATGTTGTGTTTCCAAGGAGTCCCGGATGCCTTTTTATCACAACACTCAAATTTTACAAGCTATGTTAAAATAAATAGTCAGTCACAATCATTATATCAAAATATTTCGCGCAGCCGCCATATTGTTATCCTTGACTTTTCAAATATTGTAGTTTATTGACAAATACGTACGTTCCAAGGACAGAACACCATACAGAAGTTGAAGAACGTAAGGGGATGGCCGACTTCGTAGTTTCAAAGTTTACCAAGTTGACGATGTTCATAACAGAGAGTTAACAATTTTGAAAGATGTACTTCAATTCGGAGTACACCTATTTCTCAGATGTATAATCTGCGTTTCTATGTATCCCCTTGGCCTGAATGTTCGATTGTTTCTGTCTAAAATCATGTTTAACATTACAATTAGAAATTTTATTAGACGTGTCACCTGACATAAATCTTCTCTGTGACCGTCAACTTACGTGTATTTTTATTTCAGTTATTATGTAACATCGTACGTAATATTTAAATACTTAATGCTAGGCCTATATAATATTAAATTACACTAACATTAGTTATCTTTTCAATAAAACTTACCTAATTAAAATAAGTTACTTTAATTTCGTTAAATATTCACCACGTCGAAAAATGTTTTAAATGATAATTGTATCCACAGACAGTCTGTGTTTCGTACGTACAAATCTCTTGTACGATGAGATCTTTGTGAGAAAATCTAAAAAAAAAAAAAAAATGATTTTTTTATTTTATTTTCTAATGTCTTTGTATTTGACTCATATGTACTAAAACTAAATTTACCTAACAACGTTTAGTGAATATTCTCTAATACTATTGTACCCGCCGTGTAAAGGTAAAAATATATTTCACCCTTTCATTAGTTCCAAGTTCTTTGTTTTATATCGGTTGGTTCCTTGAATATTTTTATTCAAATAACTCACCATCGTCACGACACTATAAGTTGTCTGAATTGTATCAGGCGTCAAGGCAGTGCGTGTCTTGTTCTAGATATACGTCGTACATTCTGAGGCACGTAACCAAAGTCCTGGGTATAAAATGGGATCTCCGAGGTGGAGAACATTTGGCGGAGGATCGAGGTTGTGTCATCGTGGCCAATCACCAGTCGATGCTGGACATTCTCGGTGAGGAGTCACTTCTTTAACTTGGTCCCTGAATCACTTGCATTTGTTTCATGTCTGATCTGTACGTTGCGTCTGTTGAGATTACACGTTACGTGTTGAAATGGTAACGACGCAAGCCGAGAGCCGAACCCCGTTTATCTCAGCGTGCTTGTCTACGCCCGTGTGCTCAGCTTTTACAATTTGTCATGTCCGTCCGCTGGTAATAACCCCCAAACTACTCTACCGAATTCGTAGAACTTCATAAAGTCTTATGAAGACATTTTGATTTTTGATGTAAAAACCTAAATGAACTTTTACGTGTATCTTTTCAGTACTTTGACAATTTTTAAATGAAATGTGATAAACGTCACTTTGTTTAGTCCCGTACAGTATGAAGTAAAGAGTTTTCTGGATATTTTCCATCGTCTAATAAATAAAGTCATAAACTCCTATCTCCGGACAGATAGAGATTATCTCTATCGATTGGGCCAAACTGAGCCCCATCTCCGAAACGTCGTGGATTCTATGATTTTATTTATTAGACGATGGAAAATATCCAGAAAAATCCTTACTTCAACAACGCACCATCATCACAAACTCTTAGAATTGACCCGCACAGTATTATCGTGTCTCAGTTAGATTCATTTAAATTTACTTTAAGTCACCTTACGAACTTAATTCATTTTTACTTATCATTTGAGCCCTTTTTTTGATAAAATTCCACGCATGCATCATTCAAGTTATTCACTTTAATATCTAGATAGCAGACGTAAATCATACATACACGAAATGAGCCCTTTAATGCTGACCTTAAGGGCCTGCCTTTTCTCATTTAATAACAACTGCATTTCAGAGTCACGTCTCGGTTCAAAGAACATCTGAGCTTTAACTCTGTGTTGAGAGTTATGGGCGAGAAAACCATTGCTGTGTTCACATTACTGGATACTTTTATGAGTAGATGACTAAAGGCTACACCCTCACATATTACTTAAGACCCATTTTAATATTTTCCTTCTATGCGTTTCCACCGAAGTGACCCTTATCCTTCAGGTTTCCGATTATAATGTTTTTTTAATAATTAATGTTTTTTGCCATGATATTTTAAGTGGTCATTTTGAGTTTAATTTCAGCGCGGTTTATTTTGTTAAGAACGTTGTGCTTTGAGTTGTGGTCGGTATACAAAGCATGGCAAGTTCACACGTTCACCTACAGTGCAGACAGTATCATGTGTAAATGAAGCACAAATTTTAAACCCCTCTCCGTCCAAGAGCGTATTTCCCCCATCTTTGTTCAAATTGTACAGACTAATGAGGTCTGCAGTTGGACGTCTCTGTCCGTATCTGCGTCAGGCATGTTTAACATCTGGCACGTGATGGACAAGTGCGCACCGGTGGCAAAGAAGGAAGTGTTCTACGTGTTACCTTTCGGGGTCGGTGCTTGGCTAGCTGGCGTCGTCTTCATCGACCGGCTCAACTCCAGCAAGGCCCATGATCAGCTCAACCACGCAGCTAAACTAATGAAGTCCGACAAGGTACGATGTTCCATTTCGTCTATTCTTAACCAATAACTCGCTGTATAAAATACAGGGGAACTGAGTACAGTTTATGATGTTCTGTTCTTTTAACACAGTTCAGTTTGTCGATTCTAAAACCGGGCCCACACTTGCATATTGTGCCTTAACGTAACAAGAGATTCCAAGGTTCAGGTGCGGATATTCTGGTGAACGCACACACTTATTCCGGTGGCGTAATGTAACAACACCTTTGACGATCGCTGAAAAACCTGCAGAAGCGTGAGTGAGGGCACGTCCATATTTGCGCAGTCGCTGTTACGTTACGACAGATTGCGCATGCGTAGACCCGGCTTAAGAGCTTCATATGTTTTATGAGAAAGAAGGAGCAATGAATGTTTCCAAAATGCTGGATGTTTAAATCGCTTGAAAAGAGTTGATTTGAGAGAAAAGGACATGGAAAAGGGACAAATTTAAGTAGTCCTGAATGAAGTCTAATAGTAGGCATTAGAAGTACCGGATGTGTGTGTGGAAACATTTAAATATCCTCTGTTTAGTACATGAAGGATTCTGCTGAAGATTTCTGTCTTCTGGGTTGTTAAGCTGTGTAGTCTGGTAGATGTTTACCAACGTTTCGGAGGTCATACTGCCTCCGTCATCAGGGCGATCTCTAAACATTACACACATCCCTTCCCAATAAACACTTCTGCTCCTTCCACAGCAAGAAACCGACTGACTTATATTCCCCGCGAGTTTCTTGGCCCCTCAACAAGGTATTTAAATTAAAAGATCCAATATTCTCGATAAAAATAAGTCTAATGCGCATAATATGAACATACAAACCCAAATACGAGTAATACCTTCACTTTTTAAACATTGCAATGTACGTCATCGTTAAAAGACTAATACAAGGTGCCCCAATAATTTCCATTTAGTCAGAAAAATAATGTGACCGAACGATAGTCAGTCTAAAGTCAGCAATTAAAAATTGTCGTTTACTGTCTACAGGCTTTTGTTTAAAACTTTTATCTCCTTCATTGTCAACAGTCTCATATAATAGTGTGTGAACAAGGCAAACTACAGTAACATTATAAGGAGAAAAGGTAGTTCCTTTAAAGTAGGACGAGGTCTCTCGGCTTTCCTGCTCCTGAAAGTTGTCATATCATTGACTGGCAACCGTCACAGAAAAATATTGCATGCATTAACAAGAAACAATCCCTCAACTGCCTACATATTTGAGTAAAAAAAATGGAACATTTAAACATTGATTTTATGTGACGTTTCCATGTAAATGCAATTATTCACTTCTCATAACCTTACAACAAAACAACATAACTGTAATCAGATCATAAATTGTGCTCGTCTGCATTGCTTCGCAGCGCATTCCTTGGAGGAAAGCTTGCGTCCGTTGGTAGGGAAATGCATGTTGATCTCGCGGGAGAGGGGTTAGTAAGTAGGTAAGGAAGAATATTTTCACGTCAGCAAGTCTGAAGATGGCTGTCTTCTGGGTTGTAGCGCCGTGTAGTCTGATAGAGATTTTCCTCCATCATGTGGGCACTCAGGTGGCCACTGTTCTATTGGCCCACTCCAAAACAAGATGAGTTCTTTGTGCTATCAGTATGTTACTGAGTGGATATATGTGTGCGCGCATGTGTAGGGCAGATGTAATGAATATATTCATGTGCGAATGTATGACTTTTTGGTACAATATTTTGTGAAATTTTTATGGGAAATTTATCACTGAGAATTATAGTGAAGATCCTTTTTAGGTAGTATTCATGCAAGTGCGAGAACAGCTCAGTCAGCGAAGTGGCCACTTAGATGGTCATGAGACCGTGAGGGGCAGAGATTTTCCTCTTTTCATGCATCTTCGGACTAAATCATCCAATCTTCTTGCTACCCAGGACATAAAATTGTTGGAGGCTGACCACTCACGTGCTTCTTGGTGCCAAGATTAAGAATGATCTGTGGTTCTTTGTCTTTCCTTCGTACACCTTCATGCATGGCATTAGGCACTGGGTACAACTATACCTTTACCTTTGAAGCGATAATTTTTGTGTCAGACTTTAGTCTAATATTTATCATTATAGTTTACACTGCTTAAAGAAATCTTGGAAAAATTCCTATTGATTTTCTTCTACCTTCAGGTAAAACTGTGGATGTTCCCCGAGGGCACAAGGAATTCTTCACATTCATCTCTCTTGCCTTTCAAAAAAGGAGCATTTCGAGTTGCCATCACCTGCCAAGTGCCAATTCTTCCAGTGGTCTACTCCCCCTACTACTTCATCAATAATAAAAAGAAATTCTTTGGCCAAGGTATGATGAAAGTGAAGGGAAATATTATTGCTGAATTGTTACTTACATTTATTTATTTATTTATTGAGTTGAGTTCTCCATATGGAAGACTGCATCCATCTAACATCAGGTTTTTGCAGAATGCAGCCCATCATAACCATCTCAAATGCTGTTACACAGGTTCATAAACATTATTCCTATTACAAGAAACTTACCCTGCCTTTCCCTTCCCTGTTCCCACATATCTTGCTAGTTTTACTCTTTCATTTGTTTTCAGCTTACAACAAGTATTATTTTGAAGATTTCTGTCTTCTGGGTTGTTGCGCCGTGTAGTCTGGTAGATGTTTACCAACGTTTCAGAGGTCACACTGCCTCCATCATCAGGGCGATGAATATGAAGATTTCTGTCTTCTGGGTTGTTGCGCCGTGTAGTCTGGTAGATGTTTACCAACGTTTCAGAGGTCACACTGCCTCCATCATCAGGGCGATGAATCGTTAGTAAACATCAACCAGACTACTACAGCGCAACAACCCAGAAGACAGAAATCTTCATACTCACCGCTGTAAAAAGCTCGAATCATAAGTATTATTCTGTATTCCTTAAATCTACATCCTTAGTACATTTTATCATTCTTTTCTAGGCACTTTTATTTTATTCTCTGAAGGCCCACTGCGTCGTTTAAGACATGGCAGTGATATCCCTAGTTGACACAGTGCACATCACAGTATTTGGTTCTGATACACTAAAACAATGTCATTGTACTCTAGATGGATGGCAATATAACGTTCATATATTTTCTTGTCGAAAGGGGCCATTTCCTTTCTTTTACAAATATTTTTATCCAGCATCCCTCAGTAGCTAACAACAAAAATTTCTAAGTGGGAATTACATCCTTATTTTCAGATATACTATGTAACTTTGGAATAAACGTTGAGTACAAGGCTGTAAAAAATTTCAATAACTTCATCTAGATGGTAACAATTAAATTACTGATTCACAGTGATGTAAATGGTCCAGAAACATTTTGATATAAATTTGTATTTATTTGTAGGTTAAATATAACATTATTTTAACAGTGCAGTTCCAAAGACACATAATTCTGTGCTTTATTTGGGGATTTTATGCAGTTAAATACTTTTGTTAGTATTTTTTGTCCCTGTAGTGACAAATTCATTTATTGACATGCTAATATGTGCCTGCTCTAATTTAGTGGTTCATTTCACCCTACCTTTATGTTCGGTGTGGTCTACTGTTATAGTCAGATGCCTGCTGTGTATTTGAAATAGTTTTCTCACTTACGTAACAGAATTTATTATCATTGAATATATAGAGGGCCCTTGAAATGTCCCTGAGTAAATAAAATATGATATCAGGACTGTTTCCAGATCAGGATTCGGGAGAGAAGGTTGTATATATATGAGGAGTCAGTTGTTCGAGACACATTTTTCTGATTAATCAAAAGATAAATGATTATTATAGCCTGCAGATGATTATACATGGAGAGGTAAAGTAATATTAGTGCACGTACAAGGATTTACATGACCCAGTGTTGGGTTGGCTCATAATACAGCACCTGATATCAAGGATCATTCTTCTCCCATTAAATACGCCAATCTCTTCCTTGCATAGTTTCTGGCCACGTTATTATCAGAGGAGTCGCATCTGTACTGTACTGTAACCCAGTGTTTTTATGTGCTGCTTCATCAGGAGTCGCACGTCAAGACTGACAAGTGACATTAAAATCTGTGACAGTCTTTCAACATCTGTTTGTTGACTTGACGTGGATTGACGCATACATCAGAATACAAATTAAATTCTGGAGATATCTATTTATAAATATAATACATGTGGAACAAATTTAAGTATGTGATTCACATACTTTTTATAATGTTTACTGATGAGAAAGAAATTAGAAACATATAAGATACATTCCTATATTACAAGTCCACATCCTTATCCCGTCAGCTGTTTCACTTCCCTGGAAAATAAACCAATTTATACTGCACGCACACCAAAGGTAAAATTTTTAAAACATATATTTCAGAAACTGAGGCTCATTGCGCAAAAGGGTGAGACAGGTGTCCCTAGTCCCAAGTGTCATGACCTCTCCTTCTTAGTATAGATGTGATGTGTGTTTCAAGTGGTACTTTCATGTAATCTTTCCTTTTTTGTATTAAAAATTAATTTCAGCTTGAAGTGCACCAAATAAATAGACTAATATAATGGAATGTTGTAACAAAGTTTGGTTTAAAATGAATGAGTGTTAATTCACAAGACTCTTATTGAAGTTTTATGTTTCCTGAATGGTTCTAGAAGAAATAAAAACATACAGAAACTAAAGTGACACTTTTAACAGTGTGGTTTGTGTTGTTGCAGTTATTCATATTTTTCTTGTTATTTTGTTGTTATTATTGTTATTGTGATCATTATCATAGGTTTTGTTCTTATGAGTATTACCATCATTTTATTGTTATATGGAAGAAATCCATCCCGCGTGGTCTGAGGCATCATGCTTCGGACCAGTGATACGGAATGTGCGCTGGTTCTCATGAGATTTTTGACCAGTGTATGGAACCGGTGCCAACCCAGCATCATGAGGAAATTGGGAAGCTACAATGGGTAGCGTAATCCAGTCATGAAAACTAGCAATGGCTGGGGGTTCGTCGTGCTGACCACACGTCACCCTGTATCTGGTTGGATGATCGTTCACCTCTGCTTGGGCATGTGAACGTGAGGCCAGCAGCCAGCTAGTCGGCTTTGGCTGTCATAGGGTTGTTAGACCACTGATTATTACTATGGAAGAAATCAGTACTGTTTGTCCTATTGATGTTGTTATCTTCATTATCAGTACTACTGTTATTGGATTATTATTTGAAATATTGTTATCATTATAGGCAGAATGATCATACAGGCTCTACCAGAAATCCCTACGAAAGGCCTAACAATGGATGACCTTGACTTACTGATGAAGAAAACAAGAGACGTGATGTCTGAAACATTCCAATCGCTAGCCACAGAAGTGGCACTACAGGTACCACCTAACTGTCAATGAACAGTGACACAAAACCAGAGTGTGTGGATTGTACAGTGCAATAAAAAATCAAAATCACAGTTAAATGTGGGTCAGTATGGACCCCAAAAACAATTGTGTAAATTCCGTTAAGTTTGTCGATATTTAGTTGTTTTTCCTGTTTTAGGTTCTGAAAAAACATAAAATGGTTTAAGTTATTTGTAGATGACATTTATGGAGAAGTATAATGGATTCTTATGCTAATTGACTTAGGATTAATGTTCTACACTTGAAAAAGTTTTGATCCTCACGTATCAATGAAATTGTAGAACCTTGTTTATCTTACAGAATACTCTGTTCCCTATGTTTCTGTACATGATAATACTCAAAGAATATAATGGGCATTATGTTAAATCTTTGTCATGTTCATGTCGGACATGAGATAGAACTATCAAAAAGTATAGACGTAATAGTTGACGTATTAGAACTTCATTTGTTGGACAAGTTAAATAGTATATACTCAGTAATTTGAAAATGATAGGAATACGGAGTGAAAATTCATGAGTTACGAGTGAAATACTGACAATACATTAAAATATCTATGTACAGAAATGAAATATATATCCAACAATCTACCAGGCCATTCAACAGATAATGGCCAACTTATTCTGAAAACAGTAGGAAATCTTGTTTTTTATTATGTATTCTTTTAGAATAAGAGGGGAAATTATAATTTTATTGTACTTATAATGGAGAATTTATTTTCAGAGCATTTGATACCAAGAGTTAAATTGTTGTCTTACATGTATCTGATTATATATCATCATAGGAAAATTTCAACTCCATTTTCAAAAAATAGAACCTAAATTACATCTTTATAAATTGTAACCATAAATAGGAGACTTGTCTTAATGACTGACACTAAATTAAAACTAACTTTAACACTTCTTTTGTTTCCATTTCTAATCCTTTCATAAGGCACCAAGAGCCAAAATGTTTTTACATACAAAGTAGGCAAAAATTTAAATCCATTTTAAAAAATAAAACCTCATTAAACTCTTCATAAAGTGCGATCTTGAACAGAATTCTTGTGTTAACGAATGATATTGACTTCATTATGTCATTTTTAGATTCCACTTTTAATCTTTTCAGAACAGTTTGATAACTCTCAACATTTCATTCTTGCTATTAGTAATCATTGTATGTACTGAATAGAATATTTTACTGTTTAAATTTTATCATTAGTACTATTTTTATTATTCTTCAATATTACCCATAATTCATAATGGCTCATAACATTGAAGATAATAACCTAATAAATGAACATGACAAACCATCCAGTTGAACATATCACAGACTAGAACTAGTCATTAGAGATTCTTATATCAGGGCTTTAACGCTCCACATTATGAGAGGTTTACAGTATGCTGGAATTTTGCCATTAAATTTTGACGTCTTCACATATGAAGTTTTCGCAGGAGCATATGCTGTGTCTTTATCAGTTTCTGTTGAACAACCTAGGACCTCAAATGGTCAGAGGCATCCACTCTTGTTCAAGTTCCTGTTAATATATATATATATATGCACATGTGTGTATGTTTACTGCTAAATTAGATAATAGATACTAGTAAAACTAGTGGCGTAGTAGTAAACATTGTGCAAATGCAAATCAATTAAGAGAAACAGAAGATTTTCCTCAAAACATAAATGTTTAATATACTCATTTAAACCACCTCAGTAAAATAGCACCCAAGTGCTAGACTTATATCCGTATTCGGTCCATGGCCTCCTCAATTCTCCTCTTCCATTCGGTCCTCTGTTAGGTCGGTCTGTCCGAGCCTTTGATTGAGGTTTCGAAACTACACGCTGAAAATTTAACAGTGTCTCATTGACTCCATTCCACATTGTGTGCCTTCAAACGTCGGGAGCCACGAATGTTGTTACAAACCAGTCTGTAACCCCTGGACTCCATTTTCTTCAACAAGATTATTGCACTCTCCAAATTCAATTTCAGAGTCAATACCTTGCTTTAACCAGCACTTAAATGGTCACATGGCCAGAATTGTAAATCGTGCTGGAGCTAATCATGTTTAGTCAAAGCAGTCTGTGTCCATTTCTTTGTTCTGAACTGTATAAATTAGTTTCCAGTTTTCCCCACAAACAGATGCAAGAAACTTCTGTTTAGTATTTTTACCCATAGTAATTGAGAAAAAGATGTTTGATGTATGTTGTTTTTTTTTCAGAGATGTATTTTCTTACATCACAGAAATCTCATTCTGACAAAAAACAGATTCGTTCTCCTTCCGCCTCACCACAGATCTGTTTCCTTTAGGTGTCATATGTAAAGTGGAATTGTACATATTTTATATTAAGTTCATTACACAAATGGATTCTTTAATACTTTTTCATTTCAGACCAGAGAATATACTTCCGTGAAACATTTTTATGTGAAGATCGCTGTCTTCTGGGTTTTTGCACTGTGTAGTCTGGTAGAAATTTACTGACATTTCAGAGGTCCTTGCGATTAGTCATCACCCTGATGATGGAGTCAGCAAGGATCTCTGAAACATCGGTAAATTTCTACCAGACTACGGAATGCAACAACCCAGAAGACAGCCATCTTCAGACTCACTGCCATGAAAACCTCAAATCCTTCACATTTTTATGTGGATTTTTATACATCTCTGGATTATTTGTCCTCGTGAGCCCTTTGATACACAGAAATTTTCTCTTAGGCAGAGGAAATTCTGTTTGAATGTTTGTATTTTGCAAAATGTTTGAACGTCCCTAACATTTTACGATAATTGATCGAACGCTGAAACTAGAACTGTGGCGTAGAATGATTTAATAATCCGTGTTCATCTTGACTCCCTAATTTAGTATCTGAATGTTTGCGGCAATGCGTCTTTGGTGGCATTTGTGTATGTATGGATAAAAAAGTTATTAATTCTAAAACTGGGTCCTTTGAGTCGCAACTCATCACAGTATATAAAAATAATTAATCTATCAGTAACCATTGTGTCATTTTGATTTTCTAGTGTTATGTTTTAACTCATTACTACAGATGTTTTTATAGGGCGTAACTTGTGTTTCAAAGTGTGAATTGTTCTGTGTGTGAAAATAAACAGGAAATTAAAATAGACTAAGGTGAGGGCAGGTTTTGTTCCCAGTAAATTATGTTCTTTGTATTCTGGCATTATGCATTGCATTAGGTTAGTTGGAAACAATGAATGGAGGAAGTTACTGTGGAGGACCTTCTTCTTCTTTATTACGCCGTCTCCTTTACACGAGGTTGGCGACATATTATGAACAGGATCCTTCCATCTTTTTCTCGGACTGGGACCTGTTCATATATGTTTTTTAGGCAGGTGATCCAGAAGTGGTTTGCCATTGCCTTCTTCTGTGTGTGAATGGAGTAATTGTTGGGATGCCACGGAGAAACCGGGGAAGCCTTGCCCAACACAAGTTATAAATTCGGGCACCGCCGGGAATCGAACCCCAGGATTACAAGGCCAGCATGGTTTAAGTTTCCTTTGTTTGACTAAGGACAAAGGAGCTGCTCACTTGTCATTAACTCTTATGCTGTACATTGGTGCTGTTATACTCGCGAAAGGTCAGCGATTGAATTAAGAGGTTTGTAAATATAAATGTAAATTTTCGTGTGCAAAGAGATGGGGATAGTGGCTGATAAATGAATTAGGTGAGTGAATCCTTTATGGCACATTCATTACCGCAGAGGCAGGTCTGTGGCATGCAATTTGTGATCCCATTTTGTGTGCTGCTTTACAAGAAACTTATCCTAACCAAACAATGCATTTCGCTTGCTCCGTTAGGCCATTGTTACACGCTACGCCTTTCAGTCAGGGGGGAGAAAAACGTAAGCTCATCGCACTACGAGGTTAGTTCTCAGGAATTTTCATAGAGCAGCGGAAGTCATCCCCTTAGTCAACTTTTGGTTTGTTGGTTACTTGGTACGTCGGTTGGTGTATGCAGTCTCGATCCTTGGCACTGCCACGGAGTTCGTCCAGATGGTCTTTGGTTTCCTCGCCTCACGTGGTCTCTTGTGTTCGGATTCCTACAGACTTGTAAGGGGCTATTCTGCCGTGATGTTAATCGGGTAGATGTGCTTGTGTCGTTGGCAACGCCCCTGCTTCGGAGATGGCTGACAGTAAGGGGCGTGTGATTATAGCCTGAGGTGTACTAGTGGCTTCAGACATTTACTATCTTTGGCTCATGTGTGAACGGTCGCAGACGACGAGGGCTAAAGGCAATGTCCTCCGTGAGCGATAAGAAGCGTGCAGTGCGAGCTGCATAAGCAGCATGGGGTGTCATATGACATAAGGGAATCGCTTGTTGTGTCCTCAGTGAGAGACTGCAATAGAAGCACACGGTCTTTCTGCGCATGCCCATTCCCTGTACTGCACAGTCAGAGCTTATCTGCGCATGCGCCTTACTGGCCAGCGCAGCGACCTGCGCGAAAATATCAAAATATTTGATCTCGGCTTTGGCCGGCGCCTGCTTCGCTGTAACATAGGCCAGCGCCACACAAACAGCCAGTTTGATATTTCCGCTTCACCCACGCAAATCGCACCGCTCACACTTAATCGCTCACGTAGGACACCGGGTAAGACTTCAAGCAGGACTGGCAGGGCGATTGCAACCCATTCGAATTGAGAAACACTACTTCCCTTGTGACAGTAGACGCTATTAAGACTCATACTGTCTCTGGGGGACGTTCAGTTTCCTCTACCCCCTGAAGATCCCACAGATGTACCACACACATAAGACTAAAGTATGAAAGTAGCTCAGAATTACATGAAATAAATTACATAACAAGTGGATTAATGTAAGACAAATGATAAAATTAATTAAAACCAAATTGAATTAATCCTTAGCAGTCGGCGACCGTACGTGATAAACACCCGTTGTTGATTGGTTGGCGTTATTTTTTTAAATCACTGTTTGCATTATATTGAATCATGTTATATTCTTGAATTAAGAACAGGTAACTAATTAATTTAATGTTTACAGTTTTAACACGCGTTCGTTTCATTCTGAAATTCCTTAAAAAAGAAATTTTAACAAGAACACCATCTCCTATCAGTCTGCAAGAGGTCTCTGAACTATCCATATATGATCCGCAGATTCGACAGTTGTCAGCCCTGTTTTTTTAGTTGCTTTTGTAAGTGCTATTATACGTACATATCCCCGTCGTTCCTGACCATCAGTTATTGGTAGACGACAGACTAATTCTGAGATATTTCGAAATACGCTACGTTGTGTTCTTCCTCGTCGTGTCTGATCATCCTTTAAGCTCACATCTGACGCATGAGACGTGAATATGCAAAAATAAACAAACGTCTGATGACAACTAGTCAGTCATTAAACGATATGACAGGCGCGATTATGAGTCAGGAATGGACCTTGGTTTACTTGCCTGTAGAGATTTCCCTAGTCGATGATCATGGGCAGATTGCCTCGCACATGCGCAGTCAGTGGTCGTTCGTCTCATCGTGTGGTTGGAATCCAGTGTCGTCTGCTCAGTGCGTGGTAGCTGTCGGTGTGTGGAGGTTATGGTACCGAGGATATTAAAAAACAGGTGATTTCTTGTCTACATTATATGTTCTTCCAGTTTAACGTCGAGCTTCTTAGCTTTGTCGTCTTTGGTGAATTGACGGAACAGATATATCGAAATGGGTGATCTTGGCATTTGTGAGGTAAACGTTAAGATTTATCTTCAGTAGTCTGAAGTATGAATATCTTCGTTCTGTTGTTTCCTTCATGAAGAAGGTAAGGATATTATAATTTTTTTAGGTTCTGACAGCGGTGAAGATATTGATGTTTTGGTTTCTGACCCAGGGGGTAAAACCCAGAAGAATAATGTCAACATATGATTTTGTTGACAGCATAAACCGCAGAATAGATACGTTTTATTTAGGGTGGAACGTGTCTGTTGAAGGGCTCTGTATCTGCGTGCAATACCCACAGATCTAACGACAGGGCAACCTCAGAGAATCAAAATGTTTTGTACCAAATATTTTTCTGATGGGACAGTGGATTAGTTGATAAACAGGAGCTCAAAATTATTTTCGTTCTCCGCATTGCTTCAATGAGTGCCCTGCCTGGATGAATTAACCTACAGGCTGTATCCTTGGGCGGGAAATTGGGGAGAGGCAGGCAACATAATGAATAAAAAATAACGAGTAATGGTGTAAAATGAATACAGCAAGCGTAAAACAGAAGGAAAGAATAAATGTGTTCGTGTTCCTGGCGTTGTAATATTCCGCCAAAGAATGAATGTGTCATATACAAATGAGCAATGCATGTGTGCAGCGAAGTCCACAATGTGAACAATCAGCACATTTCCTATGATATGGGTTTTATCTTAAATGTGGACACGTAGTCGTCATTGTCAGTTGTAAGCCCGGTATTCTGCTAACGGCCTGTTTCGATTTTGTTCGGTTATTATTTGTGCTCGTTCCCTTTAGAGTTTATAAGTTCAATATGTATTTATTATAGTACATATTTTGTGTATGAGCCGGGATAGCTCAGTCAGTATAGTGACTAGCTACGGGCTGGACGACCGGGGTTCGATCCCCAGAGGATTTTTACTCTAGCCTGTGCGTCCAGACCGGCTCTGGGGCCCACCCAGCCTCCTCTACAATGGATACCGGGGTCCTTTCCCGGGGGTAAAGCCGGCCGGGGCGTGATGCTGACCACTCACCCCCATCTAATGCCGAGGTCAAGGAAGAGAGGAGCTATACCTCCTCTCACCCCAAACGCCTACATGGCGTATAGTGGGACAAACTTTACTTTACTTTACTTTACTTTACTTTACTTTACTTTACTTACATATTTTGTGTAAAGTGTAGAACAGTGACAATGTCCATTCAGTATCGTATCATGAGAAGTACGTTTGAAATTAAACGCGGAATCTTTATTCAGTTTTGAAATTAAATTGGGATTTGGGGGTCAGGACTAAAGGTTCGTGTTGGATGCCAAATACCCTCACGCCGGCCATGAGTGAATTGCGTGACAGAATTTTTAGCAAAATCCCTAGTGTGAAGTTACGTGAACATCCGTTTATTGGCTCTCGACTTGTCACGTGCGGACAGCGAGAGATATTGATAAGCTAAAAGGTGCATTTTGTAAAAATTTGTTGCGAAAGTTTATCTGAATGTGAGATTGGATTGCATCACGACAGCTCATTCTTTCATTCAGTATTCCAAAGGCAAGGTAACACTTACCTGTGCCAAGACGCGTCTGAAGAAGAACCCTATTAGGTTTCGGTTAAGTCAAATGCGTTGGTAGGCCTGAGTGGTCGTTCGTTGTGCGTACACGTCAGTGAAACATTTTTAGGATTTGAATGGTGACGGTTACATTTAACCGTACGACTGCATGCAGGTACACAGGAAACTGTTTTGATTTTACGGTTCTAATAGTAGTCCAAATACCTTCAAGAATATATTCCGAGATGCTGACACAATTAGTTTTTCAAATAAAACCACTTTAAGACTAAACGAGAAGGTTACCACAGCAGAAACATTACTCGGAAGTTATGGGAGTCAGTGTAGTCACTCAGACGTGTTCAACAATGCGACTATTTACATGTCAAGACTATGTACCCATTGTAATCGTATAGCCATATTCGGAATTTATACTTTATAAGAGTGATTTTAGTCTGATATTAGGGACATACTGACTGAGGAACTTGTAAGAAGAATATCTGGCCTTTGTTATGGGTACATAACAGCGATGTTAACTTTGGGGCATGCAGCCATACTGAAAGATATGTAAGATGCAACGAGGGTCGAGTATCAAACATTTCTAACGTAACCGTACTGAGACTTATATTTTGTAATGGGATCCTGCATATCAATGAAATGTGAAGCATGCTTCGTGGAAGACGAACTATTTTCGATTCAGCTTAATTGATGTTTCACAGGAAAACTTGCACCTACCCAAGGCAGAGTTCGCCAATTCAGTGTTTTTATTGTGCGAAATAATTGTTAATTTATCATATTAAAACATTCAATAATACGATTTTCTGTCTTATTCTTGCAATTTTTTTTTCAAAATAAGGTATGATACTGCCACAAATTTCGGATAACAATTTGAAATATGAAAAATAATTATTAAAATAAAAATTGAGAAGATTCTGTTATGCCTCGAATGACAATTAATAACTGAGTATCGTTTGTCATTACTCTCATCTAGCGCCAATTTGTTTCTGAGTTACGTAAGTCATAAATAATATTACTCCGCCTAGCCATTGTTTATGAAGACAAGAATAATTTCTTTTTTAGGACAAATCTCTTTGACTGTGCGTTACAAATATTTTCTTACGAATTCTCAGTCGGAAAATTGTTTGCTTTCTTTAGCCATCGCGTGAGTAACACGATAATTTTCCTGCAATGCAGAGGAAATTCTCATTGGACTGTTTTGTGTTATGCCTCAAGCCCCCCCCCCCCTTTTAAACGTTGCCCCTCCTCTTATCATAAGATCGACACAGTTTTCGTGCTTTACCTTATGACTGAGTTGTAACACCTGTCGACGTTACATAGTTTGAAAAACTCTGGAATCCATTTTACGCTTTTCATAAAGACAAAGACGTTTTTGTTTAATTTCGATCAGTTTTATTCAATTATTGAAAACTGAAATGAAGTAATATTGAATAAATGTAGACGCTACTTGCATTTGCAGCACTATATGTCTAAAAATAATAGGTATAAAGTTTCCAAAGAATTATATTTATGTCTGAAAAAGAACTCATTGTTCTATTCAGAAGCGAACTGAAGAAAATTCAGTCACATCAACAATGTATATTGGTTACAGCTGACATGAAACTACCACAGGCAATAAACTGTCGTTGATGTGGGCTAAACAATAAAGGGAAAAAAACATTATAATTTCCATTAAATGGCGTTAAATGTAGAATAGTCTATCTCTTCCGAGCAGTTACACACGCCTTTGTGGTAACTGACTGCTATTGTAATGAAATATTGAGGGGGTATAATAGCTACCTGGTTTTGCTGACCATTGTTGACTCACTTGGAACTCACTGCTCAAAAAAAAAATTAGGCTGATTTAAACCAGGGATTCTAACAGATGCCGTAATGTCATCGTAATATTACGCATAGATCGTTAGTACCTGTATTTAGCAACAGAGGTCCTTAAGAAAAACCCTGACGAGCGCCACTCACACGAGAAAGCACCAGAGAAAGTAACGTAACCAAGGAATATAAAGACTTCCAAAGGCTGAAATTTTATAATTTCACCCGGTTAGAGTCCGGACGCCATTGGTGCTTTCTTAGACCATAATTTTCATTAGGAACATCAAGAAACGATATTAGTAATATCAATTGGACACCTACAGTTACACAAGTTAACCAAGTCTGTCGAATTTTATGGTTGATTTCACTAATTTACGGTATACAAATCTTGAGGTCATTTTTCATCATATTGCCTATGAAAACATTTACGTAACAAGATATTTTTGACGTAAATACGTCTATACGGAAGGGTCATTCGGCAAACAAGTGAAAGGAAAACGTGTAAGATCCATATCAACAATGTGTTAATATGGATCGACAACAATGGTCAGCTTGCGTGCATTGTTATGTTACCTAGGAAACGTCTCTGTTTACTCGGCATTGTTGTTACCTATAAACATTTCATTACATTACCTTACCTTTAGCAGCCACGGTGGTCTAGCGGTTAGAACGCAGGCCTTGTAATCCTGGGGTCGCTTCCCCTGTTTCTCCGTGGGATCCCAACAGTTTCTCCATTCACACACAGAAGAAGGCAATGGCAAACCACTTCTGGATCATCTGCCAAGAACGTATATGAACAGGTCCCAGTCCGAGAAAAGGATGGAAGGATCCTGTCAACATTTAATTACATTACATTACATTCAGCTACCACAGACCCATCTTAAGCGTAACTAATTCAAGTTAAATAAGCAAAGTCTTAATCAAACTTTACTCAATTGTAAAGCATGTATAAAGGAAATATTTAGAATAAAGCCAATATATAAACTTTCTTTCCGTATAGACGTATTTACGTCAAATTCTCCGGAACCGTGGTTCCACTGTCAATTTTTATTTCTAATTTCGTATTTTAATGTACCGGAGTACCGTTGCGGAAATTTGAGGATAATTAATTTGAAATAGCTTGAACTATTGTTTACAACTGTATTAATTCTGTTAACACACGTCTGTATTTGTAAGTCCAATCACAGTTTAGAATCTAACATTTATGCAGCTAAAGGAGAGGGTTTTCGGCTCGTACTTGCGGTATCTTGAATTTGGGATAGGGTTATGAATATGTTAAAAATGTTTGCTTGATTATAAATGGCCTCTGAATCGCAAACACTACCTCGTTTAAACGACCTCTAGTGTACACCTTAATAGTGTTAACAACCTACAACAGAACTCACATTAGCATTGAATAACTTCGAAAGCCTGAAATATTTTATCTGCATTGTATCTAATGTTATGCTAATCGGAACAGTTAACATGTAAGTGTCGTCTTTTGAAATTTTAAGGCATTTTAAAATTCGCGATGGATAAATTCTAAAAACGAACAAACTCTTAATAT